TTAGAAGTAATATTGGATGGTGTTGGAGGTAATGTTGGATGGTGTTGGAGTAATGTTGACTGGTGCTGGAGGAAATGTTGACTGGTTGGATAGGTAACGTGGATGGTGTTGGAGGTGATGTTGACTGGTGTTGGAGGTAATGTCAACTGGTGTTGGAGATAATGTTAGTTGGTGTTGTAGATAATGTTGGTTGGTGTTGGAGATATGTTGCGTTGGTGAGTAGGTAATGTTGGTTGGTGTTGCTGATAGCGTTGGGTTGGAGGTAATTGGTGGTTTTGGAGGTAATGTTGCATGGTGTGGACAGTTGTGGTGTTGGATGTGGAGGTGGTGTTGGAGGTATGTTGGTTGCTGTTGGGGTAATGTTTGCTGGTGTTGTGTTGGAGGTGGTGATGTTGGAGGTAATGTTGACTGGTGTTGGAGGTAATGTTGACTGGTGTTGGAGGTAATGTTGAGTAAGTGTGTGGAGGTAATGTTGACGTGGTGTTGGAGGTAATGGTGTTGGACACATTTGCTGGTGTTGGAGAATGTTGATGTTTGGAGATTATGTTTGCTGGTGTTGGATGTGATATTGGCTGGTGTTGGAGGCAATGTTGATTGGTGTTGGGGGTAATGTTTGCTGGTGTTGGAGGTAATGTTGCCTGGTGTTGGAGGTGATGTTGACTGGTGTTGGAGGTAAAGTTGACTGGTGTTGGAGGTAATGTTGACTGGTGTCGGAGGTAATGCTGACTGGTGTTGGAGGTAATGTTTCCTGGTGTTGGAGGTAATGTTTGCTGGTGTTAGAAACAATGTTTGTTGGTGTTGGAGATAATGTTGGTGTTCGAGATCATGTTGGCTGGTATTGGAAATGATGTTAGTTGGTGTTGGGGATGATGTTGGTTGGTGTTGGAAATAATATTATTTGGTGTTGGAGATAATGTTGGCTGGTGTTGGAGGTGATGTTGACTGGTGTTGGAGATAATATTGGTTGGTGTTGGAGGTGATGTTGACTGGTGTTGGAGGCAATGTTGAATGTTGTTGCAGGCAATGTTGGCTGGTGTTGAAGGTAATGTTGACTGGTGTTGGTGGTAATAGTGACTAGTGTTGGAGGTAATGTTGGCTGGTGTTGAAGGTGATGTTGACTGGTGATGGAGGTAAAGTTGGTTGGTGTTGGAGGTAAAGTTGGCTGGTGTTGGAGGTAAAGTTGGTTGGTGTTGGAGGTAATGTTGACTGGTGTTGGAGGTATGTGACTGGTGTTGGACAATGTTGACTGTGTTGGAGGTAATGTTGACTGGTGCTGAAGGTAATGTTTGCTGGTGTTGAAAATGATGCTGACTATTGTTGGAGGTAATGTTGACTGGTGTTGGAGGTGTTGCTGGTTTGGAGGTAATGGTGACTGGTGTTGGAGGTAATGTTGACTGGTGTTGGAGGTGATGTTGACTGGTGTTGGAGGTAATGTTGAGTGGTGTTAGTGGTAATTTTGAATGGTGTTGGAGCTGATGTTAACTGGTGTTGGAGCTGATTTTGTGTGGAGTAATGTTGAGGTATGTGCTGTGTTGGAGGTAATCTTGAATGGTGTTGGAGGTAATGTTGGCTGTTGTTGAAGGTGATGTTGGCTTGTGTTGGAGGTGAGGTTGACTGGTGTTGGAGGTATGTTGACTGGTGTTGGAGTTAATGTTGGCTGGTGTTGAAGGTGATGTTGGCGGGTGTTGGAGGTAATGCTGACTGGTGTTGGAGGTGATGGTTGACGGTGTTCGAGGTTAAAGTTGCTTGGTGTTGGAGTAAATGTTGACTGCTGACTGTGTTAATGTATGGGTTGGAGTATGTTTGTAATTTGAGCTTGTTGTTGGGGTTAATGTTTGGCTTGTGGCTGTTGAAGCGATGTTGGCTGGTGTTGAAGGTGATACTGGCTGTGTTGAAAGTCATGTTGCTTGTGTGGAGGTAATTTGGCTTGTGTTGGAAGTAATGTTGGCTGGTGTTGAGGTGATGTTGGTTGGTGTTGAATGTAATGTTGGTTGTGTTGACTGGTGTTGGAGGTGATGTTGACTGGTGCTGGAGGTAATGTTGACTGGTGTTGGAGGTAATGTTGACTGGTGTTGGGTGTAATGTTGGCTTGTGTTGGAGGTAATGTTGGCTGGTGTTGAAGGTGATGTTGGCTGGTGTTGAAGGTGATACTGGCTGGTGTTGAAAGTCATGTTGGCTTGTGTTGGAGGTAATTTTGGCTTGTGTTGGAAGTAATGTTGGCTGGTGTTGAAGCTGTATGTTTGGTGGGTGTTGAGGCTAATGTTGACTGGTGTTGGAGGTGACATGTTGAGGTGTGGAGGTAATGTTGACTGGTGTTGGAGGTAATGTTGACTGGTGTTGGAGATTATGTTGAATGGTGTTGGAGGTAATGTTGGCTTCTGTTGGAGGTAATGTTGGATGGTGTTGAAGGCGATGTTGGCTGGTGTTGATGGTGATGTTGGTTGGTTTGTAGGTAATGTTGACTGGTGCTGGAGGTAATGTTGAATGATATTGGAGGTAATGTTGACTGGTGTAGGAGGTAATATTGAATGGTGTTGGAGGTAATGTTGACTGGTGTTGAAGGTGATATTGGCTGGTGTTGGAGGTAATGTTGACTGGTGTTGGAGGTAATGTTGATTGGTGTTGGAGGTAATGTTGACTGTGTTGGAATGTTGTTGAATGTTGACTGGTCTTGAAGGTGATTTTGACTTAGGTGATGTGGCTGGTGTTGAAGGTGAGTTGACTGGTGTTGGAGGTAATGTTGGCATGTGTTGGAGGTAATGTTGACTAATGTTGAATGTTGACTGGTCTTGAAGGTGATCTTGACTGGTGTTGAAGGTGATGTTGGCTGGTGTTGGAGGTAATGCTGACTGGTGTTGGAGGTGATGTTGACCGGTGTTGGAGGTAATAGGTTTTGGAGTAATGTTGACTTACTAGAGGTAATGTTAATTGTGTTGGAGGGAATGTTGACTGGTGTTGGAGGTAATGTGTTAACTGGTGTTGAGGTTGATGTTGACCCGGTGCTGTTGGAAGGTAAATGTTGACTGGTGTTAGAGGTAATGTTGACTGGTATTGGAGGTAATGTTAACTGGTGTTGGAGGTAATGTTGACTGGTATTGTAGGTAATGTTGGCTTGTGTTGGAAGTAATGTTGGCTGGTGTTGAAGGCGATGTTGGTTGGTGTTGAAGGTGATGCTGGCTGGTGTTGAAGGTCATGTTGACTGGTGGAGGTAATGTTAACTGGTGTTGAAGGTAATGTTGACTAGTGCTGGAGGTAATGTTGGCTTGTGTTGACTGGTAGTTGAAGGGATGTTGGCTGGTGTTGAAGGTGATACTGGCTGATGTTGAAGGTCATGTTGACTGGTGTTGGAGGTAATGTTGACTGGTGTTGGAGGTAATGTTGACTGGTGTTGGAGTAATGAGTGACTGTGTTGGAGATTATGTTGAATGGTGTTGGAGGTAATGTTGGCTTGTGTTGTAGGTAATGTTGGCTGGTGTTGAAGGCGATGTTGGCTGGTATTGAAGGTGATGTTAGCTGGTGTTGAAGGTGATGTTGGTTGGTGTAGGTAATGTTGGCTGGTGTTGAAGGCGATGTTGATGGTGTTGGTAGGTAATGTTGACTGTGTTGTATAATGTTGGCTGGGTTGGAGGTAATGTGGCTGGCGTTGAAGGCATGTTGGCTGCTGTGTGTTGGTGTTGAATGTTGGTTAGTGCTTGAAGTGATGTTGGTTGGTGTTGGAGGTGATGTTGGTTGGTGTTGAAGCTGATATTGGTTGGTGTTGTATGTAATGTTAGCTTGTGTTGGAGGTAATGTTGGCCTGGCGGTTGAAGGCGTGTTGGCTGATGTTGGAGTGATGTTGTGTGTGAATGGTAATGTTGGCTGGTGTTGAAGGCGATGTTGGCTGGTGTTGAAGGTGATGTTTGGTTGGTGTTGGAGGTAATGTTGGCTTGTGTTGGAGGTAATGTTGACTGGTGTTGAAGGTGATGTTGGCTGGTGTTGGAGGTAATGTCGACTGGTGTTGAAGGTAATGTTGGCTGATGGTGAAAGTGATGTTGACTGGTGTTGGAAGTAATGTTTACTGGTGTTGAAGGTGGTGTTGGTTAGTGTTGGAGGTAATGTTGACTGGTGTTGAAAGCGATGTTGGCTGGTGTTGGAGGTGATGTTGACATGTGTTGGAGGTGATGTTGACTGGTGTTGGAGGTAATGTTGACTGGTGTTAGAGGTAATGTTGGCTGGCGTTGGAGGTAAAGTTGACTGGTGTTGGAGGTGATGTTGAATGGTGTTTGGATAATGTTGGCTGGTGTTGAAGGCGGATGTTGGCTGGTTGTTAAGTGATGAACTGTGCTGGAGCGGTAATGTTGAATGGTGTTGGAGCGGATGTTTGAATGGTGTTGCGAGGTAATTGTTGGCTTGTGTGGAGATAATGTTGGCTGGTGTTGAACGGCCGACTGTTGGCTGGTGTCTGAATGGTGATGTTGACTGTGTGGAGGTTATGTTGACTGGTACCGTTGGAGGTTAGATGTTGACTG